GACACGATAACTATGTTGAAGGAGTTGGTCGCCGAAGAGGGACTGTATGTCCGCATAATTGTAACCTTTAGGGCACTTATAATGTGATTACTTGTATATATAGTGAGTCCTTATATCGTGGTTTACGGCCCGTTTTGGTCAGTCTATGCGCTTCCGGTTTCGTCTATTTCTATACATTTCACGGCTTGCGAGCCGTCTTCGGCTCCAATCCATCGAAAGGACACTCGGCTCTGAAGGACCTGACGTTGGGTGCGATCGCCGGTTAGTACTCATTATCATTGAAAAACAAGTGGTTTTCAATATTGTAATACATTTGATACCATTTGCTATGTATTTAAAGGCGCGGTGAATGTGTTGCTGACAACCCCTCTATGGGTGATAAACATGAGGATCAAAATGCAAGGCACGCGAGTGTCCGAAGCGGATCGAAAATTGCGTAAATACCCTCATTATGACGGAGTGTTGGACGCCATCTGCAAGATCTCGCAGACCGAAGGCCTGTTGACCCTCTGGAGCAGTGTTCTGCCATCGCTGGTACTGGTGTCCAATCCGGCCCTTCAGTTCATGATCTACGAGCTGTTGAAACGCGAAGCGCAACAACTGCTCAAAACCAATGAACTGAACGGAATGATTGTCTTCATGTTGGGCGCCATTTCCAAGAGTATCAGTACTGTTGTCACGTATCCCTTACAAGTGGTTCAGTCCAAACAACGAGTGAGTTTCTGACCATTCAATTAGGTTTAATAGGTTTTGGATTAGTTTTAATAACCAACCACTCAATGGATAGATGTTTCAGATGTATAATAAATCTTGTATTTGATTTGAATGAGTGTTTGTAAAGCTATTTAATAATTATGTATTGAATTTGATGTTTTTTGAAGTTTTCAAACTTATATTCAATTTAATGGATAGTATGGCACCGAAGAGGCGAAAAAGATGTCAATGATTGAGATCTTGCAATGGATTGTCCGCAAGAATGGCGTTCAAGGCTTATACAAAGGGCTGGAATCGAAACTACTGCAGACCGTACTGACCACTGCGCTCATGTACTTGTGCTACGAGAAGATCTCGGCCACAGTCTTTCAGATCATGAGGGGATCCCAACGTATAA